CTCTGTGCCTGAATGAAAACAACCAATTAGAGCCAGGAGAAGTCTCTAACACAGTGTCAATCCCTGCTTGTGCTTGTGACCTGTGAAAGTGAAAGCCAGCTTTTCGTTGTCTGTCTCTGCTGTGCACGCTGTTGTTAGCAGAGGACGGATGAGCTGTTTTTTATTGCTGGTCGTTGTTTCTCAGCTATTGTGTTGGCAAAACTCCTCTTGAAGATACGCTTAAAATAGAGCTTGACTAAGTGCAAGCATGCATGGGAGAGGAGGGCGTGTACACGAGCAGTGACTGACACTGTGTGAGAGACTCCTCCTGACTCTGATTGGTTGTTTTTGTTCAGGCGCGGTGGATTCATGCAAATACCATAAGGAGCACTAGGAGGAGCCAATGAAAATAATTTTTTTCACAGATTATCTGTCACATGTACATATATGAATAAAAAGAAATCTAAAATATATGAAAAAAGGTTGTTTTTTCTACCAAAATATCGATACTCTCGATCTTATGTTTCCATTTTGAAAATTGATCCGAGCATCACTTGGATCAACACCAAAACTCAGATCATTGTCTCTCTTCTACGTCGTATTTATTTGTATTTCAAGAGTAAAAGCGTCTGCGCACACAATGTTCCGTTGTCGTGAACACATCTATTGGATGTACTTTGCTTCTCCACTGCTTTTGTGTTGTCTACACTCAAATTACTTACTCCAGACCCAGCAGCGTCTTCTTAGTTTCACTTTCACCTGATGTCAGCAGTCACAAGCTCACCTCCCAGCCCTCCTGTTGACTGCTAGGGGCTGACATGGACCCTCAGTTATACCATGATTAGAAACGTGAGCACATCCACGTGACCATAGCTGTCCACTTACGTTCAATGTGGAAAGTGTGTCCGAGCCTGACAAGTTTAATTAGACACATATAGCAGTGATGGCTTAATGAAAGAGGGAAAAAACATGAGAAAGAGATCTTGCAGCTGAAACTGAAAAGAGGGGAGAAGGAGGAGGGACATGCCTCAGCATCCAGACCTCTGACACAGAGACTGAGTTCACTGGCAGAGTGTGTTCACAGAGGCTCAGGGGAGGAATATCCAGGAATATAGTAGCCTAGAGAAATTAGCCAAATCAGATCTTCAGCATTGGTCAGTGTTACATTTTCAACTGTAATTGGTCGTTAGGAGCTGTTACTTGAACTGATTTATGATTCAACTCATAAATCATGACACACTGCTTTCCCAGACATAAAAGTGCATGAGCCATTTTAATAATAAAAAGTATTGCCGATTCTGGCTTCGTAATAGTTGGTACTGGATCAAAACCAAATTGTGTGGCCATTTCTTCTTCCTTTGTAGAGTTCTCAATTCAGTTGGGACATTTTTTTAGGGGAACAGATACTATGGCTTGATTCAACTTCTTCAATACCAATATTGATACCACAACATTGTGTCAATAGAGATTCAATACCAATTTATTTCCTCTCTAGACACTAAAACATTCATGTGAGCAATTTTCCAATTATTCTGATAACATTATTCTGAGTTTTTTGTGTGTAGAAAAATTTGTCAAACTGGTGGAAACCCACTAGAGGATGCCAAAGTCAGAAATGTTTAAATTCTACAGACTTTAAAGTAGCTATAATCAATACTTTTCGATTAGCAATGGATCACATGACAACTAAGTATATTAAGGGGTCGCTCGTACTGACGAACCTACAATGAGAATCATCACCTGACTCTGTATTTTCTCTCTGTTCTAATGAGCATTTTAGATTATTTTATCCTGTTTGTTTTTGAGCACACAGCCAAGTTTAGCCTCCCCTTTCTTTTCAGCTTTGTTTCCTGTCGTAACAAGCAGCGGCTTCAGCTGATAAACTGACTGTACGCTACCTGCTCAGCACCAATTGACAGGCAGACAAAGACAGTGACTAGCTGGTGAACGTAGTGGAGCATTTGGCAGCTAAAGAGTCAGATATTCCCCAGGAGGTAGTGGAGACCAAAAACAGAGATAAAAGTAGAGTAAATATTAAACTTAGGGTGCGTTCAGACCTAGAGTTGTCTTGCTTGGTCTGGTCTGAATCTGGGACTCATTGTGTTACAAAATTGTATAATTGCCTAGAGTTGGTTCGTGTTCTCACGGCAGCATTTACAAGTGGACCAGATAAAAAGGCTTGCACAAGAAAGCTGCTCTTGATTGGTCAGAATTTGCAGGAAAAATCCAGGAAGTAAACAAAACCTTGAAGAAGAGTACACTTGCAAGATAAACGTGACATTTTCTAATGTCACAATGGAGGGACAACTACGCAGGTTGATTTTAGCGCTGCTCATCGTGGACTATATTGCTGTCATTGTTCATTTTAGTCAAACCATACAGTTTGAAAACGAGGCGCGGCTCCAACTAGAAAAAAAGGCTGTAAAGGAAAATCCTCCGGGACCGAACATGATCATGCTTGTTTAACCCAAACAATGCGTAATGTGAGTTGGTTCAAATCGAGGTCGGGACACGTTCTCACCACAAACGAACTGCACAAGAGTTCATTTGTTCACTGTAGTGAGACCACCATGTCAAGAAGGTCTCGGCCCGGTTGTTTTGGTGCACACCCGAGTCAATTGCTGTGTTCACACCTGCCCAAATGAACTGCACTTAGGAGGCAAAGGAAAATGAATTCAATTGAACTGAACCAAACAGGGCAGGTGTGGAAGCACCCTTACAGTCATCAGGAGGACAAAAATATGACTCCAAAGGATGCCAATGTTGCTTTGTGCCTGCTGGATGTGTACACAAGCTATTAGCTACCATTTTTGCTCTTTTAACCTTAAAAGATGATTTGTAATGTTTTTTCCACAGCCCCCATGAGACCAAACAATCAATTATTGCAGATTTATTATCTACTTAACTGTACAAAAAGCATTTTATTTTTGTCATAATGGAAACTGTTTAAGCTTTTCAATAAATGCTGAACTTCAGTCTATCCATTGTGTTGTCAGACAGAGCCAAGACATGGACGCACATCATTAAGTGTCAGCTCATAGACTCACTGCTACTGCGTTTTATAAATGTTTCTAAAAGGAATCCACTCGCTTGTACAGACGAGGGACGGCTATCTTAGAGATAATATGTTGGCCAGTAAGGCTTGAAATGTTTAGTTAAGCATTAAAACCCCATGAAATGGTTGGTTATCTTCAGCAAAGCAGTTTGTTGAATTAATTTATTGCTTCCAACAATGTTTTTTGCTTCTGGAAATGTTTCGTCTTGAGACTGTTGTCTTTACAACTCATAATACAAGCCTACATTTTTATTGTGATTTTAACTTATATTTTTCAATATCCAATCCAGTGTTTTTTTTTTCTAGAATCAGACTGATATTATTGGTGTGTTGGTTCAGCACATCCATAAATGGCTCTACAAGCAGCGGTATTCAGGATGCTACAGTATGTGTAATATTTTCCAAGCATTGCGAAAGAGTAACCTGCCTGTCGCCATTACAAACAGCAGACCACATGCCTTGCCCTGTGCTTTTATATGGTTTAAGTTGAGCGGCCTTGATCTCGGTTCAAAAAACCTCTTCTGGTTGATGGCACACTCATAATTTAAAGGTGAAGTATAAATATTAATGACACGGCTCATTCACCGGGACACTCTTCCACGAAGGGCCGGCTTGCAATACTAGGATGAAACCTGGATGTAAATCAGACACTCCTGATATGAAAAGTTCAACGATTCATTTCATTATAACACACACAGGAGAAGGACAGAGGCTGCTGATGGGTGTGTGCAGGGGTGTAGTGGTAGTGATACGGTGGCTGTACTGCTAGGTAGATGGGTAGATTACCAAGGAGGAGGTGGGTATACTCTCCCCCTCATACATACCTATATATAAAACTGTAAATGGCCAGAAAATGATGTGGGTGTACCCCATAAACCCTGCGTGTACCCTCCACTACACCACTGATTGTGTGTGACAGTGTGTGACTGCATCAGCAAAGATGATGAGAGGATAATGAGCTAGGGGGGAGATGCCTTTAGATGCATACATACAGAGAATGAAAAACACATTCTTGTGAAAAGGCCAGCAAGGGCAGTATCTAAGGATATGTCCACAAAAAATTGTATCCAACATGTCTTATATAGTGTTTCTGCTGAGACAAAGTTAAAATAACCTCGCTCAATCTCCACCAACCCATAACCGAACTTATCCCCTATGATTGGATTTATACGAGCCACGATTTCTGTCTGCTTTATGTAATCACCAAACTGTCACCTTTCTGCAGTGTGAGTGGAGCAAGGCCAGAGGGACAGACGCTGGGAGATGGGCATGTTGGAAATCACTGATTTAAATATTTAGAAGCGTGATTCAGCTGCAGCACTGTTTGTTACTTTGAGGACAATATTTGCCACCGAAAATGGCACAATGCTGGACTGTGGTCAAGTTTTGCACCACTTGTCTTTGTTAGACAGTTAAATGCAGCTCCTTTCTACAATAATATTTACAGGGATATTCCAATACAAGACACTGCATATATAGAAAAAACAATTTTATATCCATGGATAAGAGGAAATGGAAGTACATTAGAGGTCCAAATGAAGACAAAGCACTACATGTTGTGCTCTGAATATATGGATAATGCAGCATTTTCTGCTAGTATAACAAATGTGGGTCTTCACTGAGACAATACTGGTCTGTTTTTAATTGTGTGATGATAAATATTTCTACAATTTCCTTTTCTCTTGATAAGATACTGAATTTAATACAGCAAATCAAACTTTAGGTCTAGCATCAGTGTAAAATGTGGGCTCCTGATAGCTGCACACATAAAATCAGATCTATACATTCATGTAAATTCAACATTCATATTGTGCACACTGTGTGTACTTATCAATAAGTGCTGCATGCTTAAGACTATTATATTAAAATAATATTAATTTTCCAGTGTGTATCCAAAGAATGTCCATATGATTATTGTGCACGCACGCAGGCGCGCGCAGCCCGTATGTCTATATTAAGGTCTCACCTGGTGCCTGGATGACCTGTGCGAGCCAAATGAGGGCGACCACTCCGACTCCACAGCAGCAGAACCGCTGGAAGGGCCGCCGGTGCCTCGCCGCTGCTCTCATTCCTCAGCCGGCCGCATATCCACCAGAAACATCTGTTGCTCTCTTTCTGACACTTGTTTCACACTTTCTCTGCAAACAAACAAGCTCTGGCGGCAGCAGCAGCAAGCGACTTCTCTGCCAAGTTGTGTCAAACAAAAAAAATCCCCGCAATGACAAAGCCTGTTTCCCCCCTCCGGACTCAGAGCTGACGCTGTGCCGGCTCACTCCGACAAACCTCCGGGTCGCACATAGCGAGGAAACGCGTGAAAAAGGCTCTCTGCGTTCATGTGTACAGTCTGAAAGGTCGACAGCAGATCCCACAGTGAGGTGCAGCAACAGGAGGCGACATGCTCTGAGCTCTGTGTGCTTTCGCTCTCTCTCTCTCTCTCTCTCTCTCTCTCTCTCTCTCTCTCTCTCTTTCTTTCCCTCTGTGTCTCCCTATCCGCTCACACTGTGGTTTACCTGTGTGGCCACCAGACGGCGACAAACTCAGGACTCCCTGTCAAGAGGAGAGAGGCAGAAATGTTTCCGACCCCGGTGAGATTTTAAAGGGGTAGTTCATTTTTTTTAAATGGGGTTGTATTGAATTCTTATCCATAAACAGTATTTCACATACCCTGGAAATCCAGAGTTCTCACGAGAGCACAATTTGAATTTGCTCAGCGAGTCACTCTGGCAATCAGTAATGATGCTCATTACCCATGCCCAAGAAACCGAGCTGCACCAATCACATCGGTGTATCTGATATAGGCGGGCCAGAGGTGAGCTAAACAGATGACGACAGCGCTGCGACAACAAAGTCCGGAATCAGTCAGTAAACATTGCAAGATGGCTACGGATGAACACCAGTTGTTTGAAACGGCTTTGGCTGCTACAATGACCGAGTTAGACTTGGCTTTTTCTCTAAAAGAGGAACAGAAGACGGCGCTCGAATCTTTCCTTTGCAAGAAGGACGTTTTTGCTGTTTTGCCGACCGGATACGGCAAGAGCCTAATCTACCAGTTAGCTCCGCTGGTAGCTAAGCTCTCGATACATCACCCCGTGTATTGCTCTGATTGGTCGTAGTGTTATCCAATTGCGTGCAGTGATATTTACAAATGCATGCTTGGTGCCGCCAATCGAGTTGGGCCATTTTCATTACTCTTGGCCAGACCCTAAATCTTTCTAGATTTGGGTCTGGATTTCCAGGCTATATGTTACATACAGTAGATGGCGGTCGGCATGTCCCCAGTTAGGACAAAGAGCATGGATACCAAGAGGCGAAGCTCTGTTGAATTTTTGCCAACAGCCACTAGGGGCGCTGCGGTAGCGCTGCCGCCATTTTGGACTGTTGAGCTTGGACTGTTGCGCCCAGACAACATAAAAGATGTCAAGGAGAGAGGAGAAAAAAAGTAAAAGAAAACAGTGTAGTGCAATTAACTGCAACAACTATCAGTGGAACACCCCGCACCTGGCCTTCCACCGTTTCCCGAAGGATCCCGACAGGTAAGAACTCCCGAGGTGTAAGTATATATGGCCTCTTGGACCATTTATATCTGAATTGATTAATGCTTTAGCATTAAAATATATCATATTAAAATAGCCTATATATTATTATTATTATTATTATTATTATTACTGTCCCCTTACTGTACAAACTGTAAATAAATATTTATTCCTGACTATGTGTCGCCATTAATGTGTTTCTAGTTAAAATATTTATTTATTTATTTTTTTTTTTAGTTTTTGCTAGGTTGGCTTATGGGGTGATTTTGAAGGAGTAATTAAGTTAATCTTCTCATAAGTGGATGTAATATGTAGAGATGCCATCTAGGCCGTTTTTCTTTGTTTTGTTTTTTTTAAAGTCTATATTTTGCTTTACAAAAACGTGAAAAAGCAGCTGTGACCAAGCTATCACGAGGTGAGTAGCATTGTAAGCATAATTAATAGCGATATACTTCAGTTTGTCTGTGTGTTTTTGTATGCAAGCGGGTCTGCTGAGGTCTGTTGACAGTCCAAAATGGCGGCGGTAGGACGAAACCATGGACGAGTCTGTTGCTATGGGGCGTTCTATTGAGCTTCGTCTCTTGGTATCCATGCTCTTTGGTTAGGAGAAACAGGCTAGAGTCCAAAATGGAAGCTACACAATCTACTGCTGTGAAGGGGTCAGCAATAAGTCAGACCCTGTGTCCCCATATGAGGATATTACATTTTGGGTTTGCTACACCTTATACTTCATTCTGCTTAACTGAGACCTGTTGTCCTCGTTCGTGGACACTTTTTTGTGCCATCCAGTGGTAGTAAGACCACAATATGCTAATCCATGTAAAAACAAGATGGCAGCAATCTCTACCAAGTCAGTCTGCAGCCCACCCCAACACAAAAGTGGAAAACGTACAAAACCTGATCACATTTTATGGTTGAAACTTGTTTATTTATGTTTAATAATATTTGTAGTTTGATATTCCAACAAATTTGACCAATTTTAGCCACAAGCTAAGACGTTATTAATGAGAAAGTACTCATTTGAAGACATTGGGGCTTTATTATCATCTCATTTGAAGATATTGGGACTTAATTATTGTTAACAAGGTTTAGTTTTTATACTTATCAGGTCCCACTGATCCCAAACAGCTATGAGAAATTAAAGCTCTGGCTGCTGCATTCTGAATAAGCTAGAGTTTATTTAATGTCTGCTTTGTCAGTTTCAGCAAAAAGTCCATTACAGTAATCCAGCAAACTGAAAATGAAAGCATGAACCAGCTTTTCAGAGTCTTAGTGAGACAAGAAGCATATAACTTTTGATATGTTTTGGAGTTTATAAAAGGCAGTCTATTACACAGGAGAAGGACAGAGACTGTCTATAATATTAGAGATGTGCTTCTGGAAGTTAAGATCAGTGTCTAAAATCACATCCAAGTTTTTGACATGCTCACATGGTTTTACAGACAGGTAAGATAACAACGATACCAAACAAAATTAATTTTAACCACTTAAAAAGTCTCACCTAAAAGAAATCAAAATCAGTTCAAGTGTATACTATATTAAGAGCATTTTCACTGCTTCACCTCAATGTCAGACATTGATTTCCAATGGGAAAATTATGATGTTCTATCTCTTTCTTCAAAACCAGTGAAAACATCTACTGTATATAATACACTAATTATGGATAAGTAGCCTAGCACATACAACTCCACCTCAAAAAAACTGAACTATCCCTTCAACAATGTATTCACTCTCAAGTATTACACAGCGTACATGTTTTAGTATTGCTTACACTAAAAGCATCTGTAGCCTACCATGGTTCCAGCTACCAGTCCTCAGATTTTACCATCCCTTCTTCTTTGGTTTTCCTTGAGGGCTTTCCATCTCTCACTTCGCTGCCTGCACCTGAGCAGCAATTAGCTGAACACACCTGATCCCAACAATTAGGTGTGAATGGAGCAGGGAAAGGCAGAACTGGAGCTCAGAGTGGGTGCCACTTAATGCATTTCAAACTAATAATCCCTGCATTAATGGTCCAGTGGGGAGGGTTGAGGGTGATATATAATCACCTGAAAATAAGAATCATTGTGTTTTCATTACCTTAGAATAAGTCCTTCCTTATCTACATAGGGACTGAGTCCTTTGTATGGACGTATTAAGAGACCTGGATGCAGCATTGAAAGCAGGACATTCTTGAGAAAGTAGCTCAGTGGTGCCAAAGAAGCTCTGTTTCCATGGTATGAAATTACCGGATGATCAGTGCTGCTTCTGCATCAATGGGCTCATAGAGTAAGAGCACTAGAGACTTCAGCCGGCCAGGGTGGATACTTTGGTTTAGTGCTTTGTTAACTTAAATGGGGATAAAATGATTTAATCTTGTGGCTCCTCTAAACTTTCCAAGTATTATTGGACCAAATAGATCAAATCCTGAAAGTGAAACAAATCATTTGGCAGGTGTGGTGATGCCAAAAATATATATCCACTGATTTACAGACGTCTCTGTCCCAGTGAAAGTCTGGGGAAAAGTCCTTTTGGGCCTAATGGCATCATGTAATGGACCCCAGAAATTGTAGTACCAAGGGCACACTCCCTGGGGGCCTGGTCCTTTTCTACAGCAGCCCAGAATGCAAAAACCAAACACTGGCTCGACATAGGGCCAATCACATTTTCACGTTAGCTATCTCCACTCTGTGATAAGCAGCATTGGAAAAACATGCTTATTTGGTGTTTTTTAACCAGTTTAAATCACTGGATTTGTTTGTTTTGGAGAGGAGGAGACCTCTACCGATAATTTGGCTCCTGGTAGAAACCTTCAGAACGTCTGGATCAGAAAAAAAGATGAGCACACATGAGCCCTTTTTACACAGAGATCAGACTATAGAGCTGCTACAAAGTCCCTCCTTTATGTCACCATTGCATTTTTACACAGCACCAAACAATGTGATTTTTGACAGCATGCCGGCATCATGGAAGCAAAAGAGGCATGACGTGCGTGGCATGTATAACAACAGCATCAGCCTCAAGTGTAAATTATAACATTTGCGTTGGCAGTGCTTTCTGAACAATAACCATGGCATGGAAACAATAAAGAGAGTTGTCTGTGAGCTAAAATCATCTACCTGTGCTCTAGATCCCATTCCAACTACTTTTTAAAAAACTTTAAATAAACCACTCCTTAAAAAAGACAACACTGATTGTTCTGTCTTGTCTAATTACAGACCAATCTCCAACCTGCCTCTTCTAAGATTTTAGAAAAAATCCCTGTTTGCATGTGGTGTCCCGCAGGTCTCTATTTTAGGCCCAGTTCTCTTCAGTCTGTATATACTACCACTCAGCAATATTATTAGATATCACAACATTCATTTCTATAATTACGCAGATGACACGCAACAATAAATCTCTGTAAAATCAAATGACTATAGTTCAATCAATAACCTGACTGCATATATATCTGGCATAAGTTTGCGGTTGGATCAGAACTTCTTTCAGTTAAACCAAGAAGATTGGTGGAGTGGAGAGAGAACTGTCTAACCACCTGAAAACATTTGCACTGAACACCAAGGAACATGGAAAAACCTTGGTGTTATCACTGACCCTGACCTGAACTTTGAACAACATGTTAGAAATGTGACTAAAGTGTGGTTTTATCACTTCAGGGATATTGCAAGAGTCAGACTGTTTCTGTCCCATACAGATACAGAAAAGTTGATTCATGCCTTTTTTTTCCAGCCGACCGGACTATTGTAACACTCTTCTCTCTGGTGGACTCAGAAAGTGAATTACAGCTTGTATAGAATGCAGCAGCATATGTTCTGACAAAAACCAGACATTACTCCAATCTTAAAGTCATCGCTTTGGTTACCTGTCTGTCACAGAATTAATTTTAAAATTCCTTTAT